CCAGACACCACTGTCTCTCCAAACTTTGTCGCCGCTCTAGATGCCGTCGCCGCTATTGCCGTAGTTGTACCGCCGCTACTGCCGTAGTGCCACCACCGCTTCAATAATCACCAGACGATGGCCGCTAGTTTTGAAAACAAAAAAGCCATCTTGCTGCACCAAAAAAACAATTTTATTCACATAATAAGAATGAATATAATAATGGCCGTTTATTTCTTTAAACTTGGCGGTTTGGCAAAGGTAGACAGAATATTTTCTGACATAATATATTAGCCAATCTGCCATATGATTGGCAATACTTTCAAATTAATGTTATAAATAAAAGTTTTTTTGGCACAATATAATTTTCAATACTACATGAAACTGCCAAAAACTTGGAAAACGCAATTTATCATAAATTCAACGACATCATACATAAAAAACATGAAGCCAATTCCCAAAAATTAGAACAATCGATGTCAAACTCAGAAAATTTTCATGAACCCAAAAATTTCTTCCAAAAAAACAATAAAATCAATAAGAAAAATCTTTTATTTTCTGCCACAATATAATTTTCAGTACTACATGAAAGTATGAAACTGATAAAAACTTGGCAAAATGTACATCCAATATTCAAAATCGGAAAAAACAGATTTTTATTGAAATCATAAATTTAACTACATCACACATCTAAAACAGGAAGCCCATGCCCAAAAATTAGAACAATTGATGTCAAACTCGGAAAATTTTCATGAACCCTAAAACTTTCTTCCAAAAAACAATAAAATCAATATGAAGATATCAGTTATTTAAAGGAAAGAATAGAGAAGAACGAAGAAGAAGAATGAAGGAGGAGGAGGAGGAGGAGGAGGAAGAAAGAAGGAGGGGGAGAATAAACCTGGAGCCGACGATGGTGGAAGCAAGAGCAGCAACAGAGGGTGTAGAATCAGAGGTGAACTCCATGGCATCGGCAGCCCTTGTCGTCGGCGAAGAGGTGAGTTGCGCATAGAGTAGAGCCGCAGGTCTCATGAGGCGCAAGCGTGAATAGATGAATGAGTAAACTAGGTTTTTGATGTTATTTTATAGGAGGACATAATGATAATCCGGAGTCCCATTTAGGGAATTAAAAACTTGTAGTCCTATTTAGGCAATTAAGTTTAGTTTTAGTCTTATATAAGATAATAACTTTAAAATGTACCCAAAATTTACATACAAGTTAAATAATAAAGTTAAAGTTATGTGGTTAAAACTTGTAAAGAAGAAATAAACATAAATCTAACCACATACTAACCACATATTGATTTCATTAAATGAAAAAACAAAGTGGTTTAGAAAACATATTATTTATTAATGTATATGATCAATACAAAAACAATTCGGATAGAAAACGTATTAAAACTACAATGTGATAGAAAACAAGCATATAAATCGATTCCTCCATCCTCTGATAAGGAAATAAATGGAAATCGTGTATTATCTACCCTCTAGAAAGAAACAACTAAAATCGTCAATTTGACTAGCTATTGAGAACAAACTATCAAAATCATCAATTTGAGAATCGCTATCGAATAGAATATCCAATCAAGTGTTATCTCTATCACATAGCGTAACGTTGGTTCAAGAGGGAGTGAATAATTGAGACCTCAAAGCTAGTCATCGATGCCAGAAGTTAATCTTCCAAAAATGAAGTAGGACAAGCATTGCGAATCACCAACAATAAAATTTTACTATCCAATCGATTCTACCGACAAGAAATGCACAAACTCTGAGAAAAAGAAACAAATAAAATAACTTGAAAATAGATTTTTTCATATTTAGGAGAACAAGATATATATGTTCCCAACTCAAGATAAGAGGGGAGTTTTTTTTTCTTTAACCACTCCCCCAATTGAAATGCAAACGGTTCCCAACTGATAAATATGTGTTTTACAACCATTTAACGTGTACATGTCGTTTTACACATCACTATTTTGTATGTGTACAAATATATTCATATATTGTACTTCATCCATTCCTATTTTATCTTCCAAATAGGTTTGTCACACAATTTAAGATAATTGGTATTGTGTGGTAGAGAGTTGGGCAGAAGAGAGAGAAATGTATAAGAAATGTCGTGAAGCACAAATTCTTTACTAAAAAGAGAAAGTGAAAGTTTTAATTGGAACAGACGAAAAAGGAAAGTTGGAAGTTATAATATGACATTAACAAAGAGACTTTTCCATTTTTGTAAGATGGATGAAGATACGAGTTTGGTATTTAGATATTCCATTCCTTTTTAGTTGCAACGGTCAACATTTCACATTTGTCAACGCACGTTTTTGACTGTAATTATATTTTAATTCTATTAGTAAAAGAAATATTAAAAATCAGATTTTGCAAATTTGTAATGAGATGAATTGAACAATATTTTTTTTTAAAAAAATATCATTTTCATAAAATAATAGCGTAAAATGTAATCAAAATAGAGCATGTGAATAGTCTAAATTCAACAATAGTGTAAATAATAGTGTAAAATGTAGTCAAAGTATTTGAGTTTTTTTTCGAATTAATGTTAATTAATTACGAAAAATAGGGTTGGGTTAAAAGTATTTACCAATATACTGCTGGGTTAACCGTGGTCGGGGGAAAGTCGCCCAACGGTTGGGCGACTTTCTCCTTCCATATAAACGCAGACCAACAGCTACTGCTAGCCACGCACGATCGTGCCTGGAGGGGTAGGCACGATCGTGCCTAATTCCGAAAACAGAATTTCATCAGTTTTTTTGCCCCAGAATTCCGAAAACAGAATTTATCAATTAAATATGTGATGTATGGGGAGTACTCATGGCCTTCTGTCACTCTCATTTTACTGGTTTCACGCCTATTAACAAAATAAGCATTAACCCGGTAAAAGGAAACCTGGACCAAAGCGGTGATGGGCAAATATCTAGCATTTTTCACCACGCTATTGAAAACCACTACCAGATTAGAAGTGATGGTACCGTATCTGTACCCGCCATCGTGGTGCAATGACCACATTTCCGAGGGAATGTTCCCCAGAAATTGTCGTGCCTCCAAACTCATTTCATCTTACTTCTTGAACCCACCATCAAACTTCTTTTTCTAATGTTGCCGTGCGGTCCAGACAAAAAGATTTTTTAGATGAATGTCTTTGAAATGAGTGTGCACATTCGATGCAAGATGGCAGATACATAGCCTATGATGCGCATAAGGCTCCTCCCAAGTACTGCCCACCTCATTCATTGCCCTGACAATACCTCCATGCCGATCAGAAATGACACACAACTCCCGATTAGTGACAAACTGCCTAATACATGCCATAAACCATGGCCAACTATCCCCATTCTCAGATTCAACAACTGCAAAGGCCACTGGAAATATTTGGTTGTTCGCATCACAACCCATGGCCACGAGCAGTGTACCCTTGTACTTTCCATACAAGTGTATGCCATCAATAGTAAGTACGGGTCGACAATGCTTAAAACCATGTATTGATGGCTTGAATGCCCAAAAAACTCTTTGAAACTGCATATAACCTGTGGGAGTATCAGGGGGTGGGTACCACTGCACAATAGTTCTAGGATTTGAATGTTGGAGCGTTGTCATGAAACGGGGCAATTCAGAATATGACTTCTCCCAACCGCCAAATATTTCTGCTATGGCCTTTTGCTCCCCCCATCCATGTTCTCCGGTATGATACCGTATACCCATACTTTTCCTTCAGCATCTCAATGATAGTATGCACTTTAAGGGAAGGATCAGTGCGAACAATGTCAATCACATCTTTACAGATGAAATCTGAAGTCAAAGCCACGTGATCGGTAGTGTCGGTGTTCCCAACACACGTAGCAGAATGAGGTCCAGGAGAACGCACAATTGTGAAGGTGTCAAGGTTGCCTTTGTTCTTTGTGGCGCGTATTCTCCAGGGGCAATTACATTCTTTCTTCCTTTTGCATTGTGCCACCCATTTGTGTTTATCAGACTCTATCACCCGAAAAAATTGGTTCCGTTTGATAGAGTACAAGCTCACCATATTGATGACTTGTTCTTTGTTGTCAAACTGTTGACCGACCTCAAACTCACCTTCGGGGGTAAACCTTTTCTCACCTGATCCACTCAGCCACGCATCAGTAAAGCCTCCAGGGAGATCATACATTCTAGTAAAGTGGGTAGACGGGGCAGTTGCTGTGACCGTATCACCATCATCTTCATCAGATTCTGTCATATCTTCACCATTGATGTTGTCGTCAGCATCATCATCACTTCCCTGCCCATCCACAAATGATGCACCGTTGTGCAAATACCTACCATCTTCCTGTATAATCATGTCCATTACAGGAGCATTTGAGGAGTTCCCAGCATTCACACCTGCATTGACATAATGCATAGATACAACAACATTTGATGTTGATGGAGTACGATAAGCGTCACATATGGATTTCTCAATGTATATCTCAAGCATTGACATGTCCTCCATCTGAACTATGGCCCACATATTTGTTATAGCTAGCTCATCAGTGAGGGGCATAAGCATGTACTTTCCCCCGTTCATGGGAAATTTCATTTTCAAACGCAAAGAACGGCTAGGATGAATCATTGTGGCTGTATGTATTTTTTGAAGGATTTCGAGCATGCAAGCACCATGACAAACCATTACAAATGTGGTTGTACCACCTTCATGGCATATTTGACCAGCATCCTCATAATAGTTCCCTCCCCAGTTAAAAATGAGATGAAATGGAGTTTGATTTACCTACAAGAAAGAAGAAAGAGTGTTGAAGATGGAGGTTTGCCGGAGTGGGGTCGCCAGATATGGAAGTTCGCCGGAGTTGGAAATGGCTCGGTCGTCCTTCGTCCTTCGTAGCTGCTGCTTGGGGGATATGGGAGGTGGGTTTCGTTCGCAGTGTTATGTTTTGTGGCTGGACGCTGTTTTTACTTAATGGAAAGTCGCCCAATGGTTGAGCGACTTTCCCCCGACCACGGGGTAAATACTTTTAACCCAACCCTATTTTCGTAATTAATTAATTAATTAACATCAATTCGAAAAAAAACTCAGTATTTAGCAACAATACACGTGAAAAGCTATATCCTCCTAATCCTCCCCGGGAGGTCTTACCACCAAAACTACCACACCCAAACTTTCAGTAACCCCATTTTCCTTCAATTTCCCTCCGCTCTCCACCATCAAACCCGCTTTTGAACACCCATCTCCACCTCCAACGACCAAGTATAAGCTGCTGTTTCCAACCACCTCTTTCCTCCGCCGATCAGCCACCACCAGAATTGGCTCCTCCTTGCTCTCTTTCCATGGCAAAATCCGCCCATCCTTAAATCTCACCGCAACTCCGCCTCTCTCTAGTCCTGCTATCGGCTTCCATCCCGGTAGAACCACCCATCTCTTCCACTCTTTCTCGGCCTCCACTATTCCGAAACCCCCAACTCCTCCGCAATTCCACGGTGCCTCCTCAACCTCCGCCTCCTCTTCCGCCTGGCACACTGGTAAGATTACCACCTCTGTCGATTCTGCCACCTCCCCCAATTGCATTCTCACCAACGGCACTTTCACCTCCTCCTCCTTCACAACTCTTTCGTTCCCTCCCACATTCCCCTCCTCATCCTCCTCCGCCAGTAAAGCTCTTGCTGAATCAGACAGCACAAACTCCATTGCCTTCTGCAGAGATTGCCGCCTGAGCTCCTCCTGCGAAGCCGCTTCGTACTCTATCGCCTGTCTGAAGTAACTGAAAGCAAGGCAATCTCCCGGAGACTCCGCGTCGAACATCGCCCACCCGCGGTCAACGCGCCTCAACGGGAAATCTTTCATCGCTCTCGCTAAATTCTGCGATTGCTTCGCGTCGGAACGGTTCTTCACAATGAAATCCGCCGCCGCTGCACGCTGGGCGGCGCTGAGGATGCGAATCTCGTAAAGCAACTCGGCGCCGCCGGAGTCAAAAAACGACAGCGTAGCCGCGTCAATTTTGGAATTCAGGAGAGACTCACGCACCTGCGAAGCTACGACGAGGCAGTTCTGCTCGATTCCGGAAATTCCGGTGATTTCTTCGATTGTGGAAGGCGGGAAGCCTTCCTGGATCAGTGAAGGAATCAGAGGAGCATATTCGAACCATAGCCCCAGGCGGTTTGTGAGGATTTCGAGGCGGGAGTTTGTATCAAGAGATCGGTACTTGGAAGGTATTGGAGAAGGAGGTGGCCGGAAAGGTTGGTAGAGCTGTTTTTGCTCCGGCAGTTTTTGGCCAGAGGAGGGCGGGATAATGAGAGCGGTGATTGTTCTAGGCGAGAGAGTGGGTTTGTGGAAGATGGTGGGCGCCAGTGGAGATGGGAGGAATTCGGAAGAGAGTAACGGCGGCATTGGAGCATTCACGGTGAGAGAAATCATGGTGTTTGAGGTCGAGGAGAAACAGAGGCTTATCCACAATCTATTTCCGTTTCTAAACGTTCAATCTTTTCTAGAGATGTCTTGTTATTAATAGAAAAAATTCCACTTTTATTCCGGAATTATTACTCCATCCGTCCCTTATAACTTTGTCAACTTTCTTTTTTTGGTTGTCCCAAAAAACTTTGCACTTTCCATTTTAATTAATCAATTTGTAGCTCATGTTATTTCTCTCTCTTCTGCACAAATATCTACCACACAGTTTTTACTTTATTATTCTACGTGTCAATCAAACTTCCACATTTTAAGGGATAGAGGAAGTATGTCACTTCCACATTTTGTACTATACTTCCGATTTCACCATATCTTATCCCATCATTTTCTCCCGTTACCATTCCTCGTCTTTCTGGCGACAAGTCCAACGGGGTTACTAATTTTAGCTTTTAATGAAGGGCATTTTAGTAAAATCAAGTTCCTCTTTACTTATTTCTGCCCACCACATGTCCTTAAATCCTTCGTACATAGCTATTCTACCACCATCTTCTACCTCTCCTTTGAACCCTAAATCGGAGGCCCTCAGCCATCAACTCCTTCGTTCTACCCTGTCGTTCTTCTCACCAGTGAAACACAAACAACCCAAAATGCCTACCAGTTATTCTTCTTCTTCAAAATCAATAGGTCAGTATGAATATGGAGAATGGATTCCGGTTAAGCACTGTCATTGTGGGCTTGAAATGCTTATTTTTTGTTATTTGAGCAACTTGTTAACCAGAAACCTAAATTCGCAGAGATGTCAGGGGTGTGGCTTCATGGACTGGTTTGACCTTCCAATGTGCAAGAGGTCACAGAAAATTATTCCTGGGTTGCTGAAAAAATTGAATGGCTATGAAGACCAAATGCAGATATTGCACTTGAAGGTGGAAGAGTTACAAGCAAATGAAAAGAAGAAATACAAAATGAAGAAAAAAACCCTAAATTCATTCAGATTGTGTGTTTTGTAACAATTGTTGTTTTTGTATCCATGTACGCATATATGTAATAGTTTGGCTTGTATGTTGTGATCCTAATGTGACTTTTATGATGTATTAAGCAACAATTGATTGTTACTTCAAACTCATTTGCAAGGGACTTCATTATGTTTACATGTTCTGATACCCATCAGTTGATTGTTACTTCAAACTGATTTGCAAGTGACTTTATTATGTTTACATATTCTGATAAGGTGTTGGTAGTTTACAATCTTAACATACAAGTAAACTAAGAATCACCATGAACACAAACTGAAAACCAACCTGCTGAAAATACATGTCTGTTTTTATAACCTAAAGCATAACAAAACATATTTAACCAACCTCGTGAAAACATAAACTGAAGACCCATATGAAGAACATGAAGAACATACTCTATTTGAACTCAATTGAAAGTGATAACATATTTATAACAGCTCTATTTGAACTCAATTGAAAGTGAAAATATATTACCTAAAGCATAACAACATGAAGAAAAACCATAACAACCCATAACAACAACATCAACACAAACTGAATACATAGAACCTGATTAGAAACAGAATAAGCTGGGTATGACATCCTCAATAAAAGACAGATAAGATGTTTCATATTACATAGTATAAAAGGCTGAGTATGGCATCCTTAGTACAAAAGACAACCAGATAAGATGTTTAATACAGATGGATTGTTTTAAACTTACATATTACACAAAACATATTACATATTACATATTAAACTACTCCAGGTCTATTGGGCCTGCATCATTCCCAAAAAAGATAGACTTGAAAGAGCTTTTGGATCTGGTTCTATAGGTTGATCTCTTCTTGATGTCCAGCTTCTGAGGTTTGGTTCTTTTTAGTTCTGACTTCTGACCTTTTGAGGTCTTTGAAGGAGGGGGTGGTCCATAGTTAATCCTGACCCCATAAGGATTTCTCACTTCTATCCCCTTACTACAGTCATCATCAGTTTCCTCAGTGTGTTCTCCACTTCCCCCCTCATTCTCTTTTTCACATTCTTTGTGTTCATAAATGCCTTGCTCAGTGTCTTGACTAAACATTGATGTGTCCTCCATTGAAACAACTGTAGGAAATTCAGTTTCCATAGAAGGAGCCTCTGCAAAGTCCAAAGTAACATCCACCGAGTTGTCTTCATACAGGTCTTCAACTGTAGCTTCTCCATCAAGCACTGGTGCTCCATCAATTGTTGGTTCTCCATCAACCGTAGCCGATCCATCCACAGTACCTACTCCATCAACCACTCAAAAGCTTTTTGATCATTTTCTTGGATTTTTATTTGCGAGCCACTCAAAAGCTTTTTGATCTATTTCCTTTACCTTTGTAAGAGTAGCCTTAAATGAATTGACACTACAAGCTCGAGCACATTCCCATAGACTGTCTTTGATTGTTTTACCATGAAACCCAGCCACCTTCATATTCACATGCAAATGTCTTACACAGAACCTATGTTCAACCTTTGGAAACAACTCAGTCACAGCTTGAATCAGACCTTTTTGCTTGTCATACATGAATGTGAATAGATGTTCATTATATTATGTGATATCAACATCTCTTCTCATTAGATTCAAAAACCAAGACCAAGACTCCTTTGTTTCCCCCTCAACAATAGCATATGCTAATGGAAATATGCTATTGTTTGCATCAACCCTAACTGCCACTAATAACTGCCCCCTGTCATGGTTTTCAGATGAGTGCCATCAACACCTAGTACTGGTCTGCAACTTTTAAAGCCTTCTCGAGATGCTTCCCAACACATGTACATCCTTAAAAATCTATGTTTCCCATCCAGCTCTATGTTTTCACTTAATTTAACAACACATGTGGTCATTGGATTGCTCCTCCTTATTTCAACCACATAACACCAGATTTTTTTTGAAGTAGTCATCTTCTTCACCTCTAAGCAACCTTTTGGCCTTGCTCATTGCTCTATAAGCCTGCCTTTGAGTCACATGAAACCTTTCATCAGTACATACCTTTTGCATGAACTCTTTGTTCTTACAGTTGGAGTGACTTTTGATCTCCTTTAACCACCTCTTAGCAACCTTTGTTGAGTTAACCATTTTATTGTGATACACCTAAGAGCACCCTTCATGTGTTCTGTGATACTGTAGTATCCTCCAAGAGTGAAAATTTACTACATTTCTGAGGTTAATTCTCCATGGACAGTCTAAGTGCTTGCATTTGACAACAACTCTTTCCTTATCACTTTTTGAAAACTTTAGGTCCTCACCTGTCTTAAAAGCATGATTCTAAACCGCTTCTTTAAATTCTTTCTTGGTATCAAAGGTCAGTCCCGACTTGAAGGTAGGATTTTGCATATCAGTCCGGGCACATAAATCAGTCCACTTATCACCATCAGAATCAGAACCATGAATGGAAGCATCATCTTCAAAGTTTGGTTCAGGATCTACCAATGATGGATGGTTTTCTATGTTTTCTTGTTCAGTGTTGGTGTGTAGCCCTCCATACTCAGCTGTTGGATCAATGTTATTGGAAAAATCATTATCATCTTTAGAAATAAAGTCCCCTAGATCTGAATCTTCATCATCCCAGAAAAATCTTCTAACTCCTCACTGTAAGCACAATCACTGCCAGAGAAGTCATCATCACCATCTCCACCTTCATCCTCTACCTTCTTCTAAGAAATTTCCTTCTTCTAACTCAACCCAAATCTCCACAACTCTACCCACATTTCCATTATACACACAGGCCCAAATCTCTGAGTCACCTTTCAATTCTTCTAATGAAGAATCTAAATAGGAAAACACCCTTCTTACCTTATCAGTGCAACAAAGTTATTGTAGTTTCTATTTCACGACAATTAGACCAAACTCATCCACATCTAGATCACGAACAGATGAGTAGTGCCTCCCCTGTAAGCAAGTATGGCAGTGCCATGGACTTTTCCTCCATACAACAGCTTCAGACTAAATGTAGTCTCACATGGGGCTGTTTAAAAAAAGGCATTCAATGTGGTAGGTCAATCATTCAAAGTGGTACACACAGCCACATAATAAATACATACACAATACAAACATCAAAAATACAATTTTTTCAAAGTATACTACACACAAACCATTCCACAAACCATTAGATAAAGTTAAAAAGGAAAAATAATTTGCTCCCATTTGTCAAATCCAAAAAGATAAAGGGAAAAGAGAATGTCACTGCAGATAAACCCTACCCTACCTTCTCCAACATCATTAAACAAACCTTTTGTGTTTGTCTTTACCACTTCACCTAATTTTCTACCCACATCATTCATACACAACTTCACAAAATTTCTTACCCAAATTAGGTCAAATAAATCTATTACCTTTCTGGTTGTCTTCCACACTCGTCCCTTCTCCATGTCCTCTTCGCCCCATTCCAATTGTTGGAACTTCAGTAGTTCGCGTTCTCATCCTTACATTACGTTCTAGGGCTCCTCACACCCGTTGGACGTTGGATCCAGGTGGGTGACTATGGTGGGGGGACGTGGGGGTGGGTCATGTGAAGGCTGACACACGGATAGTCTACGAGTGGTACAGGCTGTCACTTCCAATTTGAATTTCAAATTTTGGTTGACTGCGGCGCTAGAGAAGTGATGGATGGATGTGGTTGGTTTGGGCTGTAACCTTAAAGTTGGTGGGCCACAGCTGTGTACGCTGGTGCTTGGGCCGCTGCTGGCTGGAGACGTAACTTGGATGGGCTACTTTGTGGTCGCTGAGTTACTGCTGGACTGGTGGAGCTGTAGGCCGGGTAATGGGCCTTTATTGGCTCGGATCCTGGGCCTATTATGCTGGTTTGATGGACTATTTTGAGGGGATTTGGACACAGGAAGCTGGGTTTCATTGTTTTGCTTGAATTGCCAAATTTTGGGCTTTGACACTACCGGGTTGTTACTGGGCTGCTGGAGCAAAGTTAAATTGGAGGATGGGGCTTCATTGCTTCGGATCCCTTGGGCTTTGTGGACGGCGGGCAGATTTTATTTGATCTTATTGATATGAGCCGGGGCGTATCCCGTGCCGTTTTGGATCTGAAAAACTCTCTCCCCCGCCTACCTCCCACAAGGGGGTGGGTGGGGGGGTGAATGATGAATACTATTTTTAGTTAGATTAGCTAGCTAATAGTTTTGATACATTGTATTATGTTATTTTTGGGTGTCTAATAAAAAAATAAAATAAAAAAGCTAAAATTAGTAACCCCGTCGGACTTATCGCCGGAAGGACGAGGAATGGTAACGGGAGAAAACGATGGGATAAGATGTGACGAAATCGGAAGTGTGGTACAAAATACGGAAGTGGCATAATAGTCCCAAGACCAAAAGTGGAATTTTTTCTTATTAATATCCTGCTACGTATTTGACACAAAGGAACGACTTTGCACCCCATTGTTTGAGTTTTATTTGACTTTGCACTCTATTTTTAAAAATGTTAGGATCTTTTTGGTAACAACTGCATTGGCTGGAATAGCTGAAAAGCCCGAAAAGACTGAATTTGGCGAAGGGAAAATGTTTGGTAATACTTCCTTCGTCCCTTAAAACTTTGTCATCTTTCCTTTTTGGAACGTCTAAAAAAACTTTGTCACTTTCCCTTTTAATCAATTATTTTGAGGTTTTTGTTATTTCTCTCTCCTTTGCACAAATCTCAACCACACATTTTTTACTTTATTATTTTCCGTGTCGGTCAACTTTGGCAAAATTTCAAGGGACGAAGATAGTACATGGCCTGAAATGGCTGATTGAGTGTAAAATTATTGTAAAGGATTTAAGCTTATTTGTGCTACATATATGACCGGTTGACCATTACCCAACCCTACAATCACATCCTACTCACAAAAAAACAAACCCTGCAATCACATTATTTATTAAAGTTTATATTCAACATAAAAAGAGAGCAGCGCATCTCTGTTCTACCAATAACAAATGATCCGTCAAAGCCCCAAAATGAAAAAGAGTGGTGCATCTTTGTTCAACCAATTTCACGAGTAATGAGTGAAATTTGAAGTGGTGGCCTTTGGGGAATTACGAGCACCAGAATCATTCCAGGGAAAGCATGATTGTGTGTTCTCTCATTTTGCCTACAACACAGCCAAATAAACATTTAAAAATCAACCAAGTCTAAGCTCCATCAAAATTTGTATGACATTTAAAATAAGCTCAAGCAACAATTCGTCCATTTAGAATATAGCGCACCGGACAATTGAAGAAGAAGAAGATAGAGGCCAGCTCAACTTACCATTAGATGATTAATATGGAGAATCCAAGTTACAATTCGTCGATTTGGAAGGCTAAAACTATGTCACAGTCAAGCAGGAAGTCTTCGATCTGCAAGGAGAAAACTATGCGCAGCCATGTAAGAGCTCATCGTCAATTCAGAAGGGTAGAGCAAGGCCAAGAAACGGAGATGTATTATTAAGCGTAAAATAAAAGGGCAAGAAAGTATTTTAGGTTTGCAACAGTAATTTAATAACTATAAGCTCAAAAAAGTAACCCTTTAGTTACTTTTTTGGCGGATGAGAAAAAACAGTTCAAACAACCCATTTGGCATGTGTGGCTTTATTTTTGCATTTTCAGGCTTTTCAGCCCATTTTCAGGGCTCCAAACGGACCCTTAATATTTGCATCTCATTTCATGATAAAATCATTTGACTTTGCACGCTACTCATTCACAATTTTTGAATCGATGGGATGCAAAAATGATTTTCAAAATGGGATGCAAAGTCTAATATCGCTCAAAACATGAGGTGCAAAGTCCAATTTTCCCAAACGAACACTATAATACGTAATGCGTATATGATTATATGTTATACGTTAAAGTTTAAATCTATATCTTTACAAAAATTATAAGTTATGTATGAAAAATGTGTTGGTGGAACCAATAGTTGTATGAGCTTGTACCATGTGCTTTATTTTTTTACAAAAATGCTACATGTACCCTAATTATACCCAAATTATATCCCATATAAATACCCTCCCAAAAATTTACCCCACTCCCTCATCTTCCTTTCCCCCTCATCTCCCTTTCCAAATATCCCTCCTTTCCAGCCTTTCCCTTCCCTACGAAAAATCAAACCCCTCACAGACCTCACCCCTCGCGCCGCATACCTCCCTAACCCTGTCATCTCCGGCCACCGGCCTCACTCCTCGCGAAGCAGCTTGAAGGCGACCTAGAGCTTCCACCGTATGTACATACGAGCTTCAGCGCAAGCTTGTTCGGACTTCTCTAGCAGAAGACAGCTCTGACAACGTTCTCGTTTCTGATTTTTGAAAATTTTCTGATCTCTAAGAAATAGAAGTATTATTTGGGGAATTCTCTCATTTTTTTGAATGCCCCAATAGAAGTATTATTCAAAACATAATACTTCTATTTCTTGCATTTTGCATATGTTTTACTCATATTTGGGGAATTCTCTCATTTTTTTTATTCTTTCCCAGTTTTACAATTTATCTTCGTTTTACTTGCTTTAATTTTCAAATTTTTTATTTTCGAAAATTTATTTTTAAATTTTATAGAAAAAATTATAATATTTTTTGGGTGTTTTATTTGTTTTGGATTTATTTTTCTTGATTTTTTTTAATATTTTAGAATTTACTCCGTATATACCAAGTATTTCTTTGTGTTTCTGTATATTTTTTATTTTTCTTAAAAACATTTTACTATTTTAAAAATATTATTTTTTAAAATCTTATTTACAAGTTTTCATTTTTTTCTTTTACTCTGCATTTTCGAAGTTCTTACTTTTCAATTTGAGTTTTTCTTGATTTTTTGATTTCATTTTAGTCAATTTACTTTTATTTCTTTCCAATTATTTTCATATTTTTTAATTTTAATGAATTTCAACAGTTTTTTCTATATAAAAACTGAAATTGACTGTTTCCTTATTTAATTTTTAGTTTAAAACTTATTTTAATCAATATTTTTCTTTATAATAATAAAATTATGAGTAATTGCTGCACCTTAGAATCTAAACGTTGTAATTACGATTTCATATTTTCCGATTTAAAAGATTTACTCTTTCATAACAAAATCTAATTACTTTTCATATTTTTAATAGTTTTGGATATTTTTATTATCTATTTTACATTTTTATATTCATTTTTTAATTTTAACTTATAAGTTCAATTGTCATTTCTAATATATCCTTTTTATGAAATTTTATTTTTTTACGTTGAGTATTTCTTTAGTTACTCATATTTTCTAAGACTAATTATCTTTGCAATGATTTATATTGGAAAGAGAAACCGTCAACTTGTGAAAGAAAAACTGTAAGTAGTGTATTTTTGTTAAAAAATTTGAATAGTGATAAAAGTGATATTTATTTCACTTTTTAGCTTATTTCTGAAAATTTCCCAATATGTTTTGGGCCAACATGTTGATGCCTTCTTAGCCCATTAGGAGGTCCTATAACCTCTGCTTGTGCAGTCGGAAAGCCCACAGAAATAGGAGGAGAAGCCATGGATGAACGACGGCATCGTAAGAGGAAGAGAGAGAAGCAACGCCATAAACCTGTTGCCTCTTCTCCTTCGTCCACTAACTCAGCTTGTCATGCTTCTTCTGCCGATAAGCACAAACCCGTTATTTCATCTTCCGCTTCGGCCTCCCTGAGCAAAACAATCTCGAAACCCAGCAAGAATTCATCTTTTATCGACAAGGTCCCCTCTGAATGCGTACATTTATTAATATCTTTCTGTATAATAAATGGATAGATTGCTGAATCTTCTTATGGGTATGCAGATGAGGGCGAGATTGGCAGGGGGACACTTCCGCATGATAAACGAGAAGCTTTACACTTGCTCGTAAGTTTTCTCTAGCTTGTAACTTGTTATTGTTCATGTAATGGCATGGTAGCTTTATAGCTTATAGTTCAATTTTTTCCCTTAAAATTATTCTGATAAAAGTTTAGTTTTTGTGTTTATTTAATTCAGTGGAGACGCGGCACTGAACTATTTCAAAGAAGACCCACAGTTGTTTAGTGTGGTGAGATTACTTCCTTTATTGGATCTTAGGCTGTGTTTGGTTCTATTATTGGGTGTGTGTGTGTTTGTTAGCTTGTTTGGTCATGGATTGGGAGGGAATGGAATTGATTTTCATCGTTTCATCCATATAAGTCTGAGGGTCTCCTATGGAGGAGAGAGTGTTTGGGGTTGGTTTGTTGGTCCATATCATCCACACACACACATATATATTTGAGATTTATAAATATTGAAAGATCAACATAAATAAATACATAATGTGATTTCAAATTTTCAATCACTTCTTTAGAAACATAATATGAAGTACTAAGATATAAACTAAACCCTCAAAACTCCTCCAAAAACATTCTTCCAGACTAACTCTAAAATGGAAGGGGAGGGGTGGGACAACTTAAACAATAAGCACCCCTTCAAAAAATAATGGATGAGGGTAGTGTACCGCCCACCCCTCCAATAACCTCAACCGAAAGAAACTCTTAGGGTATGTCTGGGAGTTTGGGGAAGGGGAGGTAAGACTTTGAAGGTTAGCTCTAGGAGGGGAAGTGAAGGAAACCATTCTTCATGTTTGGGAGTTACAAATTTGAAAAGAGAGTCTATAGAGGAAGTATAATTAAAATAGTTCAAGAGATATAGTGAATTCAAATAGTTGAACACATATTCATTTTAAATTGGCCTAAACTTATCATTTCATTAGTTTTTTTTGAAAACAAATAACTTAATTATTATTAATGAAGATGACAAGAAACATTACAATCATAAAGTTCAAGGCTACAATAGGATGAGACATAGAAACGGACGATTCTAATAGAAAACGCCGAATCGCTAATCCTGCGAAGAAATAGACTCTACCTGCAGATTGACTGATCCTGCTACGATCGCAATAATTATCAAAAGAACTCTTAAACATCCCGGTTTCTCCAGTCACCGGTGAGGAGTAGAATTTGTTCCGGTTTCACCAGCCATCGAAAAGAAAGCAATCCAAATGATCTCATCTTCCTGGAACGGCGGTGGTTCAGGAGGGGGGCGATCCATCTCAATATCAGCGCAGAAGAAAATCATGTTTTTGATTGATGAAGAGATCAGTACAAATCTCTTCTTAGCACACAAAAATGCCCGATCGAAAGTGGCGGGGAATATGGACCTGGCAGACGATATTTCGCTACCGAAAATAATACCTCCAAACAACGTTGGGAAAGAAACAGATGAATAAAACTGAAAACACTGATTAAGAAGATGTTTTTCCATTATTGAAATCAAAGAAGATTGAAAGAAGAAAAGAAAAGAAGAGAAAAATAGGAGGCTAGGGTTTCCCATGCCATTGCTGCTCCTCTCTCTCTAAAGCACGAAGTTACACTACACACTCTTCTTATGTTTCAAACTTATCGTTTCATTAGTTATCTTTCAAAAAACTTCAATTTGGGGTACTTAAAAGTTGAGCATTTGAATGAAGGATTTTGGATTGTTACAAGAACCCTCCGAAATCATCCCTTCCAATATTTTTAAACTTGCAAACAAGAAAGGGAGGGTCATAAATCCTCCTCATCCTTCCCCTCCCCTCCAAAATCTAACTCCCAGAGATAACCTTAATATCCCTATAAAGTAGTCAGTGAGTGAATCTAAACATACAAAAATGATGCTATGGTAGCTGAAGCCTAATAATTAGCATTATCATTATGTCTGATAATCAATATGTTATTGCATGCTTTATTTACACTTGTTGATGGAGGAAATATTCAGAAGCAATGTAGCAATGGCAGTGTTTTGTTTGGGTGTGGTTTGCTATTTTCATTTGATGCAAGCCTTCCTATCTGAAGCATTTTGCTTTTCATTTAAAATTGGGTATCCAATTGATTTTTCTAGTTAACATATACATGGCCAGTATCATGCAGGGTACCAAGAACAGATGTCACATTGGCCTGAACAGCCAGTTAATATTATAATAAAGTGGCTCAAAGATCACGACCCTTCATTAGTAGTGGCTGATTTTGGCTGTGGTATGTGAACTCAGAAGATTGGTCCTATACCTTGTTGGTATCCATATGCATTAATGCATACTGTTATAATAGCTATGTGTGTGTGACTGTGCATGGCTTTTTCTACTGCAAACGCTGTTGATTCATGTATTATTTTCAGGAGACGCGCGACTCTCAAGAAATGTAAAGAACAAAGTGTTGTCTATTGACCTTGTATCAAATGATCCTTCAGTTATAGCATGTGATATGTCAAATGTATGTAACTTTCTCTATATGAATCTCAAGGCATATTATACACTGTGATTTGAAATTTCCCATTTAAAAAATTTCCCTTATTATCTGTCTGCAGACTCCTCTAGATTCCTCCTCTGTGGATATTGCTGTCTTTTGCCTTTCTTTGATGGGAGTTAACTATCCAAGCTATCTTCAAGAAGCTAATCGAGTTCTTAAGCCCCGGTATGCTGTGCGTTCCTGATATCTTTATGTAATGTGATTTTATAGTTGTCTAATTATTATTTGACTCTATCTCTCTATGCAGTGGGTGGCTCTTAGTAGCTGAGGTCAAGAGCAGGCTTGATCCAAATACCGGGGGAGCTGACCCTGAGAAGTTTATAAAAGCCGTATGTGAACTCGGATATGCTTCTGTTCTAAAGGTTTGTGACTTTTGACATTTGATTTGTTCTTATTAAGTCTCATATAGGATGTTTTCGGGTTTTAAATTTAATCTTCCATATATAAGTGTTGGAAGAAATTCAGCTATTGAGAATCTTTTTGGGCGAGTTAAGCACATTTCAATACGGTGTCAAGCTTTGGTTTGGTAATGGGTTGTTTGTTTTTGGTTTTGGTGTCGTCTATTTGTACGTGTCTTGAACGGTCAAGTCCGATTTGAGTTGAGAAGGTGTGTTAAATGTCCCACATTAAATGTTTTCCTAGTTTGAGTCTAGTCTAGTACTCCCTCCGGTCCCTAATTAACTTTACACTTTCTTTTTTGGGTCGTCTCATATTAAACTTTACACTTCCTTATTTGCCTTATTTGGCAAACAAATCTACACCAAAAAAGTGTACACTACAGTAAAGTCAAGTTTATTTCCTTGATATGTGTGAAGTCAAAGTGTAAAGTTTAATAAGGACCGGAGGGAGTATAAAAGTGTGAGATAAACCTTAATTGATGATGATTCTTTTAGAGCAAGCTAGCTCCAATTTAACAGTCCATGCGCTAAATGGTACGGCGGAGTGCTTCGTGATATTGATTTTCATTTCTTATGACTTTGGTATGCAGGATTTCTCCAATAAGATGTTTGCACTCTTCTACTTTAAGAAGAAAAAGGTGATTACAATTTATACTGTGGTCTGTTATGGGAGGTCTCAGAGATGTTTGTCTTGTGGACTTTCCTATTTGGTAAATGTTAGTTGCTTTAACTAGTTGGCTGCTTTGCTTATTTATGCAGGATAATAATAAAAAGAATATGCAGCGAAGAGAGATTGATTGGCCTGAACTCAAAGCTTGCGTATACAAACGACGCTGAGTTGTCGATGTCCTGAACAGTGAAATCTGAAAAGGGATTTCTCGGTATTTAACACACTTGTCATTAACACTGCTTTTCCATGTATTTCTGGTATATTGAATATTGTTGAAGGGGGAACACACTTGCTTTGCATTGAAGCTTTGCATCTCTAAGTTGGGGCGAATCCGTGAATAGAGTAAATTTGCATGCGCTTGTAACCACTGGTGGTCACTTAAATTCAACTTCCTCAGTTCTAAATGATGATTATATTTTTATGTGGAATTACGGATTGCTGAAAAAATAAATCAATATCAACCACATAATTCTACTTTTTCTCAAAAATCACACCACACTCCTTTGTCCCAAACTTAGGGGGACGGAGGTAGTAGTTTAAAAAAAACGGGGCCCCCACTTAAAGTGATGCCCTAGGCCATTGTCTAGGTGGCTGCCCCACATGGCCAGGCCCCGAGTGAGGTTTCATCCCAAGTCATTACTTGAAGTTGAATCTGAGACCTTTCGGTTGTGACACTCTCTTCCTACTAGGTGTTATTTTCCTTCTTATACATTAAATTATTATAGTTTCTATTCATATATAACTGTATACAGTAATGATCAAACATGAATATTGAAACACTTTGGTCCCGCTCTTGGTGTTCCTCATAGTCACACCAAGTCCATATGTGTGCAAGAAACAATGGGGATACAAGGCTTAGTTTTTTTCATATATTAATATTATCAAGTTATCGTCAAGTTAAATTCCTTTTCTATCTTTGAATTGAAATTTGCAGAAGTTTGTTGTTAAGTGTCAACAGTACCTACTTTGTTGTTACTGTGCTTATTTTACCATGTACTACGTAAGTCATAAGGTCCTTCGCATCAATTTTCATATGGATGATCATCAGTTGTTTCTGAAAACACAGATTTTTCCATTTAATGTTTAAAAAGGAAAAATTGACCTTATTTTTATTACTCCATCTTATCCAAAGGTGAGAACGCTAGTGTACTGCACAGGAATAAAAGTGATACTGAGCAATAGAAATTTGGTCAATTCCTTTTCTTGTTCTCCCATTGTTTGTGCCTTAATCGTTGATCCTGGGTGGTTCAGTATATCTACTTATTATTAGTGCAGATTATTGTGCAATATGTTCCTAAATCAGTACAGGGATTGACAACTACGTTGGTAAAATATAGAAGTGCCATGCAACTTTTGTTCCACTTATTTTATTTTGTGAACAAGAAGTGTGGCATATTCTGATTTCGTTTTTCCATTGCAATAGAACTTGTGTAGTAATTTAAATTACTAAAACAAGTTCAAGTATTATTGCTGTGGAATTTTAACTATGACTTCATTTAAGTTTTGTAGTTCAAAATGAGAAACTTATTACTTTTGAGTTGGGAGTTGGGATGGAAAGCTCGATTTAGGCCCTGCTTGGCCCAAGTAGTTTTTCTTATTCATTTTTCATTCAATTCATTTTCAGGGATTTTAGACTTATAGTACTCTATTCTCATTTACTTATTACAAGAATTAAAAGAACTTGCTCTGCAACCTTCCATTCTTAGATACAGACTCATGTAGGTTATCTCGCTTGTTGAGAGCTAGGTTGTTTTCTCGCTTGTCGATAGTTAGGTTTCTCTCTCGCTTGTAGAGAGCAGTGTAATGCCACATTTCTGCCGATCAGTTTTCTTTGGCATTTTGATCGTGTGCGGGGTCAAGAAAGGGTAACCATGACTTCTATGGATAATCTAGAGCAGCGTTGTCCCATTCTAGCAATGGAGGAGGAGGTCGAAGGGTTAGTTCTGTTGGGTGTGTCTCATTCTCGGAAAAATGAAGAAATATTAATTAATAAAATTAATTAATTAATTAAATAGCCAAAGAAAAACAGAAAAGAGATGGGACATAGTTTAGCCAGAGCTCATGCTACGCACGATGTCCTTAAAATGTATTTGTCGCCTCCCACGGTGCTAGGAGCGTTGCACCGATCATTTCTCAGGATACGGTGGCTAACGAACTAACATTTGAGCACATAAACGAGAGTTCCAGCGAACGAGAACAAAGGAGAACACTTAGAAATTTTCGGAGTAGCTGGAAGTGTTTTAGAGCTCAAAAATACGTGAAGAATGTATTATGTGTTATGTCGTTGCAAATCACCTGCCAACTATTTATAGGAGGATTTGTTGTGTGTTAAATGTAGTGTTAATGGACTTGAACGTTGGACATCAATTGTAAAGCAGTCCGGGAACCGGTGCATACAACTGCAAACCTTGCACTTTCTGGTATGAGCAAAGCAGACCTGTTGGATTGTTGGCCAGTAGTACCCCTGCAAGATGATCTTTCTTGCCAACGTTTTAGGCCCCTGATGGCTGGAGCAGATACCTTCGTGAATTTCTTCCATTACCGTCGCTGCTAGAACATGTGGTAGGTATTTTAGATATGGTCAACCGAATGTCTTTTTGTATAGTTGTTCGTCCACCAGTTCGAACATGGAAGCCCTCCTCTGAATGAATTTCATATTGTATGCTGAATTTTTGTCTTCTGACAGGGTCCCGTCTAGGGATGGCAACAGGGCAGATCGGGGACGGTTTTACATATAACCGTAATCGCCCCGTTGGGTAATTTCCCGCCCCGTAACCGCCCCATTACCCAACGGGTAATTTTTATCCAAATCATAACCGCCCCAACGGGTAACGGGTAAAACTTCGGATAACCGCTTTATTAATTGAGTCATTAAATTTTGATATAAAAAATATTATTTTAAAAGGCGAAAAATGACATTGTCTAGACCACTCTACACTTCAGATGCTACTTTAAAGATTCATACATCTACAAGACGAGAAAGGAAGCAGCTTAAATTAATTTGAACCTAAAAATACTTAAATCGAAAAAATAATTAATCACAAAAAAACATATGATAATAATCAAACAAGACTCTAAAAATCTATTACGAACTTTCATTTATACATTATAGTTAGTACATCTATTATCTATACATACACAATGGTAAGAAAAAAATCTCATCTTTTAATAGTTGTGAGACAAATAATACATAAAAATATAATAATAATATAATATAACTACATATAAATGGGGCGGGTAATGGGATGGGCATGTATAAAACCGTAATCGCCCCATTACCCGTAAAAACAAAACGGGCATTCCTCGCCCCATACTCGTTACCCGGTCAATGCGGTGTTCCCCATTTTGACCAGGGCGGTTCGGTGCGGGTATCCATCGGTTCGGTCACAATTGTCATCTCTAGTCCCGTCCTTTAGATAGTTGGTTATATCCGTGACCCAACTGGGAAAGACATAAGAAATAGCTTCTACTTGGAGGATCATAGTTGCTGGCATTGTTAGGGTTTCCCGATGAGCAAAACGTTGGATGTGAGTTGGGATCATCTGTACCCGGTCGTCAAATGCTGCATTCTCCAATTTGGATAGGATATCTGCTTCATGATTTTCTATTCTTGAAACTTGGTCGAGTATCACTTGTTCAAATTTTCTGATTTGTTCCTCAACCAATTCGTTGTAGGCTTTCATCCTTTCCTCTTTTGCTTCGGCCGTGCCATTCACTTGGTGGACCACTAGTTGGCTATCTGACCGGACTTTGAGCCGATCGGCGCCCAGGGCCTTTGCATATTTTAACCCTGCAATGAGAGCTTCATATTCGGCCTCATTGTTGGTTACCTTAAAGTCGAAATGGATGGAGTAGTATGCTTTAAACCCTTCGGGTGACGTGATCACGGCTCCACCCGCACAACCTTTTGCGCTTGATGCCCCATCTACGTACATCTCCCACCAGTCACTTATCATGCTGCCCTTTGACTCAGTTTCCGAAGGCCGAACGGTACATTCTGCTATAAAATCTGCTAAAGCCTGACCTTTGATAGTGGGCCGAGGTCTAAAGTCCACCTCATACTGCCCGATCAGGAGGCTCCATTTTGTAATGCGTCCGCTAGCCATTGGATTTCTCATGATGGTAGCTAAAGGCTGAGTTGTATACACGGTTATTGGATGTGCATGAAAATATGGTGCCAACCATTTGATGGCTGCTATTAGGGCCAATACCGTTTTCTCCATCAGGGTGTACCTAGTCTCCGACCCGTTCAAGGCTTTACTCACAAAATAAATGGGCCGCTGGATTACATCTTCTTCTTTTAGCAATACTGAACTTACAGCCAGATCGGCCACGGCAAGGTACATGTATAGGTGTTCCCCTGGGTCAGCTTTTGTTAAGACCAGGGGAGAAGATAGATACAATTTGAATTTCCAATTTGAACTCCTCGAAGGTCGTTTGGCATTCGGCAGTCCATTCAAAAGAATTGGCCTTTTTCATTATTTGGAAGAATGGGATTGCTCGGTCGGCAAGTTTGGACAAAAATCTGCTCAAGGCTGCCAATCTGCCAGTCAATCTCTGAACCTCCTTCAGGTTCCTTGGAGCTTCCATATCCATGATTGCCTTCACTTTTTCTGGGTTAGGCTCAATACCCCTTTCACTTATCATATAACTCAAGAATTTGCCCCCCTTAACCGCGAAGGCACAATTCTTGAGATTCAGTCTCATATTTGCTTTTTGCATTATCCCGAACACCTTTTCCATGTCCAGGACGTGGTCCTCCTTCTTCCGGCTTTTGATCAGGATATCATCAACATAAGCCTCCATTGTTACCCCCAATACTTCCTTGAGAAGTATCCCGATCATTCTTTGGAAGGTAGCCATGGCGTTCTTTAACCCGAACGGCATCACGATGTAGCAAAATACGCCATCTGAAGTGGCGAATGTTTTTTTCTCCGCATCGCCCGGGTGCATAAAGACTTGATGATATCCTTGGAAGGCGTCCATGAAACTCAATAATTCGCATCCGGCCGTTTCATCTACCAAGAGGTTAATCCGCGGTACCGGATATGGATCCATTGGGCACGCTTTATTCAAATCAGAATAATCTACACACATTCTCCAGGTGGACCCCTTTGGTGCTAGTACCACGTTCGACAACCATTCCACATGAATCACTGGCCGGATGTGTTTGATCCGTAGCAGGGTGGCAACCTCCTGCTTAGTGAATTCTCGCCGTTCGGCAACTTGATATCTCTTCTTTTGCTGAATTGGCTTGACATCAGGCTGAACGGCCAATTTGTGGCATATTATGTCTGGATCAATACCAGGCATGTCTTCCGAGCCGCGAGCGAACAACATGTGGAACTTCCTCAGGATCATGATAACACCTTCCCGAATTCCAGCTTCCGGGTCCACCCCGATCGCCACTTGTCGATTGGGGGGAGAGTCAATGTCAATCT